AAGATATCCAACTTTCTTTCCAATAGTCCTCTTATGCTGTTAATAGGAAGCGAAAGGTACCTAGTCAACTAGGAAGGGAGGTAAATTTACTTAATTTAATGTGTCTTTTTTTATCATACCTCGACGAAAAATCGGTTTTCTGACAGTAACAGTAGTCGTTGAATGTTGTGGAAAGGATGGTTCTGGAACACGAGGGCCGATAGTTTTTGGTTCACTGCTTAGTTCTACAGTGGAGCAGAGATAGGTCCCAACAGGTGAATTCTTCGGTTTGTTTTTAGCTTCTACTACTTTGGGGGAAAGATCTCCATTTTTTAGAAAATGAATAAACTGTGCAGTGCATCTTTCGCTTCTCACTGAGTATCTTTTGGTGAGCAAAATACGGGCCGAATATTCAAAAAGTTTTTATATTCGTGATACGTAAAGTCCAGTCTTAATTATTAACTGGAATTGTTTAAAGGTTTATTAAATACGGTTGGTTATCAGTGTATGTTCTTGCTGTTTATCAGTATACGTTCTTGCTGTGACACAATTTAGTACTTTCTTGCTATAAATAACTTCCTTAGCGTCATTATAATCTGTAGATAGCGAAAGTAGCCTCTTCATATTATGGTCATCCCAACGGTTCTTCTTGTACTTTAAAGTTTGAAATTAAAAAGATATCATTGGATTTTACTGTAGTAATAAAGTAACTGCCAAATGTTTCATACGCTGCACATATAGTGTTATTCCAGTTTAAGTGTGCCACTGGAACTGCCGTTTCATCTTTTACCGCAAGTCCAACTCAAACTACATTTCTACAGGGCCAAACCTGGCTTCCCTGACACTTTGGATGTAGGGTCAGGTTACTTGTATCTTAACCTTATTATTTGAGCAGGAGTATATTAGTTTTGTTGAGGTTGAAACGAATGCATCCGTTGGTGTGCATAATCATCAGAAGGTAGTGTGGAGGATAATCGAGATATCGAGATGATAGGAGTATACTACAAACTGCCCAACATACTTTCATGATCAGTTCATCTTATTTAGTTTTCCAAACTTCCTTGCAGCTAAAGTCTTGAAGTATTACAATCCTTGATGAATAACAAAATATGAAGTCAGAAATGGTTTCTTTCATGTAAAAAATACTACGGCATGTAAGCGTCACACAGAGAGTCCTGATAGTTTGGGTGAATACTAATCATAGAAATAACAACTGTAAATGAAGGTACATGAGGAAATTCGAAAATTTCCCGAGATCTAATTTGCATATCTCGACGTTTTCATTCGGATAAAAAAAGTTAAGACTCATAAAAGTTGACAAATCCAAAATTTCCGACAAAACCATTTCCGAAGCGTGATTTCATCAAGCAAGCTATAGTATTAGACGCCAAAGTCCGTAAATTTCTAATCATGCTAAAATGAAGGGAAAAACAAAATCCGAAATAAATTCGTCCTAGTAATCGAACTAAAATTCTGAATCAACAATGATCTTAAACATAGGAACATCGAGTTAAGATCAATTTTAAGCTACCTAGCTGTGACTGAAGAAAGCTAATTAAGCTCTCGATGTTGTGAAATATCAAAACATCCATAACAACCAAATTTGTATGTAGCATTCCTATGGAACCTTTTAATTCTGTAAGCTCCAACCTGATTATTGTCCTTATTATTGCCGTCCATTCCAAACCCTGTGTGTTTGATTCTAAATTAATGAATGACATGAATTACATTTGACCATTGTGGGGACATATATATCTCGAAATTAAATGAAGCTCGTTTCTGCATAACAAAACAATTGAATTCATATAGAAAACCTGGAAAATATAAACAACAAGTGATAGGAGATAGGAGGTATAAGCAGGGAAAAAAAAAGATCACATAGATGTAAACAGTAAGGAACTATCTATAAATGGTTTACTTACAGTGTTCAACCTTACAACAAAAGCACTACATATCAACCTAGAGCACTTGGCCCGAATTTATACACTAATTTCTTCGGATAGAGTCCTGTTTTCGGTACCGGTACCAATATCCGCTTTTCATAGTATGTCCTGGAAGCAAAACATAATTGGATATCTTACTTTACTGAAAAATTAAAGTTAAGATTTCCTTGTAGACTTACAAATTTCATCTATATTTGACTAGATCAATTCAACAATTGTAGCCCAGAATTTGAAATACAATGGTTTGTCATTTTTGTTATCACTTAAGCATGAAGTTACTGTGAAGAAGCCCCAATACTTTTTATAAATTGACAAGTTGAAATAAGACTTTCACAATTTCATGATTTTTATTGAGTGTTTCAAAATACGTTAAAGTGATTCTGATGCTTCTACTCCTACACTTTTCGCATTCTTTTTCATTACTTTATTTGGTAAATATTTGAGTGTTTCAAATTGCAGCAAGAATTTAACCTCATAGCTCGGCTGAGTTTTTCGTAGGTCATTTTTTGATTGTTTTTCCGTTCACCCCAAAGCTGTGCCAGTTTTTCTGACTCAACGATTCGGAAAACACCCTCTGCTGGATCCTCCCATCTGGAAATCAGTCAAAATTCAATTGTTGCATAAATTACACCATATTTTTGATTACTGATTTTGCTGTTGGACACATATCCATATTGAAAGATTCTATTACATTTTCTCCTTCACCGCTATAAATTCTGTCTCTTTCACTTAATCTTAACTTTATTTACACAAATTCCCGCTCCTCGCCATCAGCTTATGTTTTAAATCTCAGTGTTCTCGGCTATCACGTATACGTGTGATAACTTATCACATACATGTGTGGCAACGTTATCATATGTATATGTATGATAATATTGCCATAAAATTAATGAGAATGAAAAAAAGCTACAGAAAGCTTACCGTACAACACTTGGACAAGTAGTGGGATCTTTCAAAGCATCACGTATAAATTCCCATAATTTGTTCCCTTTGGTGTGTTGTGAGTGCTTCCTTGGCCTTCCATCCTTATTTTTCCGCACTTTGCAATATGTGGGTCGTAACATGAAGGTTTCATCAGATCCAACTGAAAATTCTATTTAATATCGAGGAATGTAAAATGTTATTACACATTGTTAAATAGGAATTTTCCTTTTTCTTTTCATGCCAATTCCAACGTTTGCTCTATGAACGTTTCAATATTGCCATACCAAAAAAAAAAAGAAAAAAAACGGAATCGTTCTTCCTGGATATCATCTTGGAAATTTATCTGAGTATTCGAATAACGTTTGTTTATACATTTATCACTCATTCGTTAGGCTAAACTAAATGTTATGAATTGAAAATATATCCTAGCTTACTAATCAAATTCCATTGCTGTTCAAAGACTTATCTTTCCCACTATCGTTTTTCATGCTCGCTATTAAAAAAAAAAAAAAGAATAATCAACTATTAACCCAGAAACCGAAATTGATAATCCAGGCTTCACCAGAAAATTTTTCATACTATTATACTGAGTATGAAAGGTATGACACTGCAGAATAACCATTGTTCTTTATGTAAAAATTGAAAGCTTGTGGTAACTAATTACTCAATATTTCCAGGGGGGGGGGGGAAATATTACTCAATATTTCCAATGAACACCCATAACGCACAGACATAACAATTCAACATGTGTAAATTGGAAATATTAACTAACCAGGTGAATTGAAGTTGAAGGTACCAACGATATCA